TATCTATCTATCTATCTATCTATCTATCTATCTATCTATCTATCTATGTGTGTGTATGAGAGGTGCAGGGTAGAAAAACAGATCACGTGTGTGCTATGACACATGTGTAGAGATCAGAGGAAAATTCCACTGTGGGTTCCAGGAATCAAACTGAGGCCACCAGCCTTGTTCAGAAAGTGCTCTGTCCAATGAGTCATCTTGTCAGCCCAGATTTGGTCTCCTGACGGACAGGAACACAGACCTATCTTATCAGCACAGATTTGGTCTACTGACGGACAGGCACACAGACCTATCTTGTCAGCCCAGATTTGGTCTCCTGACGGACAGGCACACAGATCTAAAGACATTTATTCACACAGGCATGGCTATGCAGAGACAGATGCTAACGGATACATGTACAGAGTGAGGGTGTTATGTGCCTGTCATAAGCGATGAGAAATAATTAAATAGTAGAGACAATAACTATATGTGTGTTTAATTAAACCACACAGCAATCATTTGCATAAGTATTTTTTAAACCGGCAAGTATTGTCTAACCTCTGTGGTGCGCTCACTCTGAGAGTGGAAACTTGCATTTATAGTAAGCAGCCAGTGTTGCGCTGCCGCAGCAGCTGTGGTTTGCTAGACTGTGAACTCGGGCTCGCAGCTGCTCACACGACCACAGCTGTGCTCCATCAGACCCACCTCTAAAGCTATGTAAAAAGAACATGACAAACACCTTGGGTAGTTCTATTTGTGTTTTTGACATTGTAAAGGCAGTGGCACAGCTGAAATGCCCTTTCTAAAGGTAAGTTATTGGGGTTTAGTTGCTAGTTTGTATTGAGAGTTGACCTCTCCCTGTGTAGTTTTTGTTCTAAACTTGTATAATAACAGTGTGTAAAGTGTCTCCCTTCTACATTGTAACAACTGCTTCAGCCTACCTTATAAATAAAGAACCACTAAGAAAAAAAAAAGCCAGTGAGGGTCCCTAAGGTTTTCACCCTTCCATTTTTGTTGTTGCTATTTCTTGTTTTTCTGAGCCAGGGTTTCTCTGTGTAGCCCTGGCTGTCTGGCCTCACCCTGGGGATTCGCCTGTGTCCGCCTCCGCAGGGCTGGGGTGAAAGGTGTGAGCCACCACTGTCTGACTCTCACACTTCATCTTTTAAACAGTGGCTGCAATTTTGTTTATTCTGATGACCGTAAGTCTAAACTGGTGTTAGGACTAGCAAAATGGCTCAACGGGTAAAGGTGCTTGCTGCCAAAGGTGAGATCACGTCAATTCTACAAACACATGCACACATAAATAAATGAGAAACTGTAAAAACAACAAATTAGCAAGCAAAAACCAGACTGGTCTTATGTAGTCATAGCAAACTAAGAATCTATTTAAAAAGAAAAAACTATGGGTAGACTGGCTGCAGGGATAGCTCACTGGTTAAGAGCATTTGCTGCTCTTGCAGAGGACTCCACTTCAGTTCCCAACACCCACATGACAGTTCACATCCACTTGTGACTCCAATTCCTGGGGACCCAACAATCTCTGCTGGTCTCTGAGGGCACCAGTAACACATGTGGTGCACACACACACACACACACACACACACACAGGCAAACTTATACACACAGAATAAAAATAAATAAATCTTAAAAATAGAAAATGGTTTTCTATTTTATATAATATACTATATTATATATATACATATAATATGCTATATATACTTCTATAATATAATAAAGGTAAAGGCAAAAGGATCTTGACCATGGACTAACATGGTCACCCTTGGACTAACCTTGTCTCAGAAACAAAAGCAAAAATCTGGCAGAATAAGATGACATTTCCTTGTACCAAGAAACTTATTTACAGACACTAAGCTAACTATGTTCAATTTAAGTTGATTAAAAATTAGTTATATTTATTATTAATGAGAACTAAGGATCTACATTAATTCTGAGCCATATCTTATTTAATGTTTCTTATGAGTAAAAATATTTTGATACCCTGTAAGGCAAGCACTGAACACAGGAAGGAACACGGACGCAGACAAAGCCACATACCTCTTCTGCGGTCCAGAAAGACGCCTGTGCTTGTTTATACATCTTCCAAATATCAGGGTACTGGATCGGAAAGATAACAAACCGGCGGGAACTCTTTCTTAGAAGAGGCTCTTCATTTGACCTCTCTGTGTTTTCGTTTGTATCTGCAGACAACTGCTTTAAAAAATCAAAGTAAAAACACTTTTTTTTAATGTGGAAATTTCTCTCTGACTCAAACTTAAATATACATCTGGGGAAAGTTTGGAAGATATCAGAGATTGGGGGAGCAGTCTGACATACAGAATCCTTTCAGGTATCCAACCAGTGGGTAACTTCACAGCACTCTGGAGGCAGAGGCAGACAGATATATCTGTGAGTTTGAGGCCAGCCTGGTCTACAAAGGGGGTTCCAGGACAGCCAGAGCTACACAAGGAAACCCTGTTTTGATAAATAAATAAATAAGCAAACAAACAAACAAATAATTCATTAAAGTTACTTTCTGAGCTACGGTGAAACTCAGAGAAGAGAGGGAGAGACAGAGATAGATGCTCAAATACAACATTAGCTAGAACTGAGGACAAATTGAGAAGGCATAAGTCTCGAGTGTGTAGGGTTCATGTGTGTGTGTGTGTGTGTGTGTAGTGTATGCACGTATGCATATGTGTGTATGTGGGTATGCAGTATATACATGAGCAGTATGTGTGTAGGTGTGTGTTAGGTGTGTAGGTGTGTGTGTGTTAGGAGATCAGAAGTCACTATCAGGTGTCTTTGTCTACTCCACTGAACCCTGACTACCTGATTGGCTAGACTGGCTGGCCTAGCCAGCAACCTATCTCTGCACCTACCCCCAGTGCTGGGGTTAGAGATACATATCAACGCTAGATTTTAGTTGGATGCTGGGAATCTCAACTGAGATCATCACACTTACAAAGCAGGCACTACCAAATGAACTATCTCCCTAACTCAGTCAACAAGGATTTTGAATCCATGTGGCCCATATCACTCTTTTAATTCTTTTAGAAATATATCAATTGCATTGAAATTATTCTGCATTTTTTGTGCGTTGTATTATACTATTGAGGTATCTATTCAGGACTAGAAATCTCTTCCATCATTCCATTTGCTAACTGGGGCATTCCGAAAGTTGGGAAGGAAAATACAATCAGTAACCCTTTGGTACCAAGCATCATGATCTTGGAGTCTTTATATCCTAGTGAATACCTACCTGGCTGGTCTCAGGACTTGGGAAGCTTTTGAAGACTAGTACCTTTAACCTGGAATGTAAGTGACATTTGTATATACTTTCTTCCTGTTCCCCCCTGATAAAAATGTAACATGACATCAATTCATGAAGAATTAAAAGAAGCCACATCAGGAAGGTATTATTATATATTCTATCATGTGATGAGAGGAGGGTTAACTAACATAAACCTTTGAACTGGACCACAGTTGACAAATTTCATAATGCATATTTTAATACAGTTTGAAGAGGTTCATGAAAGGTTCTCCAGGATGCCCTTGGCAGGCCTGTGGTAAGAAACCATTCTTTAGGATATTCTTATTGTTATTTGCTTTTCCTTTTTGAGGTGTGTCTTACTATGTAGCCCAGGCTAGCCTTGACGCTTTGACTCTCCATCTGGGCCTCCTGTGTGCTGGGATTATAGCTGTACGCCACAATGATAAACTCAGCACGGTTGTTTTCAGCAGCTCACTTTACTGCGTTTCCCAGAGCATTCCACCTAAGTCTTCCTGGCGGTAGGTTTCTTTCTACACTTGTAATTAGCCTACACATTTCATTACATTACAGGGCTGCAGAGAGGTCTCACCCAGGTAAGATCGCTTCAGTGAGGAGTGGGCGGTGGAGGGAAGCAGTCTGCTGCTGGCCACACAGTCTGAAGCCTCTGGCTACCATGTATTCCAATGATGGACAAACCAACAGGATTGATTAACAGCAAGATGATTAAGACAATACCTAATGCTGTGCATCGATCCAGCATTCAGGAGGAAGAGGGGGTGGATCCCTGAGTTTGAGCCCAGCCTGGTCTACAGAGTGAGTTCTAGGCAAACCAGTGCTACACAGAGAAACTTTGTCTTGAAAACAAAGCAAAACAAACAAACAAAAAACACCAGGGAGAACTGATAATATACAAAGAAACTGTTGGCTAGTTAGATATAAATCTTCACCTTCCATTTGTATCTGAATTCAAAATAAGTCCATTAGCTCTCACCATTTCTTTGACTTATTCTATAATGTTATAAATAAAAACAAAATTATTCTACTAGAATAAAAAAATAAAGTGAATTTATCAAATGGCATATAGTTATGATTTTATTTGGAAATCGGGGTCCAGTATTAATGCCACGGAAAGGATCTTGAATGTAAATACTAATCTCACCATAGCTATTGACCAATAGCTTCTCTGAAACAATGCTTTGCTACTTTAAAAAAAATCAATGTCATTATTTTATAGAAAAAAGACAAATTAACTTTTGAATTCTAAAATATTATTTCTTGGCTAAATTTTATATGAAGTTAGGTTGGGTATGTCTATTTTGCATACTAAATGGAAATTAAGAAATTAATTTTTAAAAACTTTGGAGCAGGTCATCTAGCTTCTAAATGTAACTTTTGGAAGCACTGAAGCTTTGTTTGTTTGTTTGTTTATTCTTTTTCACCAAAGATTTTTAATCAGACAAGTAACAATATTGGATCTGTGTTTTATGATCCCTGGTAGAAATGAGGCAGGGTTTGAAAAGAAGTTGAAAAGAGACAAGAGACAAATTTTAAATTAGTGTATTTCCCATTTTTTGTCCTTATTGTTTTCTGACTTCCATATATTCACAGTGGGATATGTGTTCCTACCCAAACACATAGATATAGCCGCCTACTTTCTCTCTCTCTCTCTCTCTCTCTCTCTCTCTCTCTCTCTCTCACACACACACACACACACACACACACAAATGAACTTTAAAAAATAAATAGTTCTTGCTAAAAATGTTCAACCCCTGCAACTGCAAGATTTTTACCAGAAATAACAGGGCATAGGAAATGCTCAATATGGGAACAGCTGAATAACCAGACCAGAACTGGTTCACTCTCAATCAGTTTAACACAGCATAAATCAACTGTTACTACTTGTTGAGAGAAGGCTATCTGCTCTAAGTTACTCTATAATGTATACAAAAAATGGCTTACGGCTGTGCCCAGTTTTAGGGATGGAGGATGTCTGTGCTCCTAGGTGGACAAGCAGCATCACTGTCTGTCCAGTACTACCTTTGTAGTACAGACTGACAAATGACTTGTTCCTGGTAGTAGAAAGGGGACCTCCCTGTCCACATGCCAGGTGAATTGAGACTGCGGGGCACATGTGAGCACTAAAATTTTATTCGGAAACCCAGCTTAAGAACAGAAGAGATTAGAGGAGTATAAATCTCTCACATGAACTTCATAAGGTGGTGGGTACCTAACACTGTGATGAGAATGGCTGCATACCTACCTATCGCCTGATACTGTGTGTGTGTGTGTGTGTGTGTGAGACTGACAAGCAGAGAACTCCTGATTGTCTTTGGGGCTTCAGATCAGCTTAGTCCCCATCCACCTGCTCACCCATTCACCTGATTATCCATTCACTTGCTCTCCCATCCGCCTCCTTACCCAAGCACCTGCTAACTCATTCACCTCTCACCTATTCACCTGCTAGCACACATACCTGCTAATCCATCCACTTGCTCACCCATGCACCTGCTACCTCATTCACCTCCTCACCCATCCACCTGCTAACACATGTACCTGCTAACTCATCCACCTGCTCCCCCATTCACCTGCTCCCTATCCATCTGCTCCCCCATCCATCTGCTCCCCCATCCATCTGCTCCCCAATCCATCTGCTCCCCATCTATCTGCTCCCCCATCCATCTGCTCCCCATCTATCTGCTTCCCCATCCACCCGCTCCACCTGCTCCCCATCCATCTACTCCCCCATTCACCTGCTCCCCATCC